AAGAAGAAGAAGAAGAAGAAGAAGAAGAAGAAGAAGAAGAAGAAGAAGAAGAAAAAGATCATCATTTGTAAAAAGACCATTCCCATACAATACAGCTAAAAGCTTCCAATACCCATACAAGTATACATGTAAGTGTAAACGTTTTGTTCCATATTCCAGGTTAGACTCTATAATGCGCTCTGTCAACAACGACCAATTGGCAGCTCTAAACCCCGCCCTCGGAGATGCTACTGCCAAAGCAAACTCCGCTCCAGACCTCGCTTCAGCCGATATCGTGGACGCACCGGTCCCAGAAGGGGGTGGCACCAACGGGCCCGGGACCCTCCCCTCCTCTACCAGCCACCCCGCCCACCTGGATGAGCTCCACAAGGGCTCTTGTTCTCAGTCCGGTGTGAAAAACACAAGCATAGTCACCGCGGACATAAACATTGTAGGCGGTGCCAAATTCGATGACGTCGGCTCGAGCAACGTCAGCAAAGATGCCTCGGCGACCAATGACAGCAGCGCGGGGGCGGGGCCAGACAACAGCTGTCAATCACGCCACAGCGAGAGCAACGATAGCGGCTTCGGCTCGGAGAGAAAACACTCGCAAGGGAATGACGGGGGGTTCCACGCCTCCGCCAGTGCAGGTAACCATAGTAACAGCGGAGGGGGCGGGGCCGCCGTTGCCGGCGGGGACAATAAAGGCAAACGTCACAGCCAGCCCAGCAGCGGTAACACCCGCACGACCTCTGTGGTGTCTTCCTCTGACGTCACGCTGCAGAATCACGTGATGTCCACCGTGGATCTTGGCGATGACGTCTTGGCCCCAGTCACGGAAGTCTGAGGATATGATATGATATTTATATATTTCATGTATATACGTTATATTATATTATAAACATACATGTTTACTGTGACAGCACTGGCAGTCTCGCGTCCAGCGAGCTCGTTCTGAATGTGAAACCGATACGATTTTCAAATAGAAGTTAAACTATTTTGCTCGTGTGGTGTGACGTCATACGACATCAAACTCACATAGAAGTATGTCATACGGGCGGCACGACAGCTGTGTGGAAAGATTTGAACTTTGACTTGAACCAAAATAAAACCCGCAGAATAATAATTATAACAACAACCACAAGAGAGGCGGTGGCCCTGGCAAAGAGCACGCTCTTCGGGGCTCCAAATATTTCCAGCGGATAGGCTACGACACACCCAACAACAACAACAACAACAACAACAACAACCAACAACAACAACAACAGCAGCAGCAGCAGCAAGAACAGGGGTTGGATTCGGTTTCGGGAAAGGTAGATCTATTATAATTGTGTTTTCTAGTATGTTCCTTTTCTGCGGCGATACACGTGTATTATGGTATTTCACACAACCCGGGTTGATCCTGACAATCGGATTCAAGGAGGCACGCCTTTAAGTTGTCTCAAAATGTGTTTGAGGTAAGGGGGAGGAGGGAAGGTGACAAGGTGTCATTAACATCACACACCATTTTAATACTAGATCTACGTCATGTCATAACAGAAGTATAGAAAACATTAACACTTACCTTGATAATATCATGACAGTGTCACTGATTCCGCATATTAATTGTGTCAATGACTTTGTGTATCAGATGATATCTTGATACGACTTTCAACTCAATCAAATCAATCGAAGTGTGCACACACTGTTTGTTTGACCTGTGTTGTGGCTTCGCTCGTCATCGTTGCTCGCAAAACAATTTCAGGTGAACATCTTTACTTGTCTGCAGGATGTTACACCTCTCTCAGACTGAGTTGGGTTGATTCTAAAAAACAAACAAACAGGGGTGAAGCAGCCTGCCCCCTCAGTGATCTAAATTGTGGGCGGAAATGATTGATAATCATTATGCTTATCAGATCATATTATTGTTGCAGTTAACGGACGAAGTAGAATATGGTGCTGTTCTAACGAAAGGACGCTGGCTTTCTGAGAGAGAAAGAGGAGGGAGAAAGAGAGAGAGAGAGAGAGAGAGAGAGAGAGAGAGA